AGCACCCCCCCGCGGCGGCGCGGGGAGCCACACAGAGCTAGCTGCAGCCTGATGAGGGCTGTGGGGGTGCAGAGCTGTCAGACCCTCTCACAGAAGCCCTGCAGCACCCAGGGGCACCCCTCACTCCAGCTGATGCTCAGGCTGGACGCTGCCGTCAGGCACAGGCTGTGCCCTGGGCGCCAGGCTGCTGCCCCAGTACCATCCCCGCCTTGGCCAGTGAAGCTCCTGCTCCTCAGCCCAGCCAAAACCCCAAAACCCAGCACCTTCATGACCCTTTTGATGGCATCAATGGCTGCATCGAGGAGTGAGCGGGCCCGTGGCTCGTCACAGCAGTGGTCCGCGTGCCGGAAGCACAGGAAGAGGATGTAGGCTGGCAGGTCTGGGAGCGCCCCAGGGCTGCTCTGTGGTTTGTAGTCTGCAGGGGAAAGCAGGACAATTGGGATCCAGGCAGCTATGGAAAACTGGTCCTGAGCCAGGCGGGATGCTGCCCCAGCAACACTGAAAGGATGAGCTCACACAGAGGCTGGCAAGAAACCCTAGCAGGGGCCAAGCTGGGGTAAGGAGTCCCCATCTCTCCGAACCCTACCTGTGATGATGGCCTTGATAATGCGCCCTTCATCCTCCATCCTCCATGCTAGCATGGCCTGGGACAGCCCAGTCAGGGATGGGACCATGGGGGACCGGGACAGGACCACAGTGGACGCTGCCAACTCCTGCGCTGGCCCGGTAGCCTCTCTCTTCACTGGGGGAGAGGAGCACAGGTCACATCCTGCTGTGTCCTGGGCTGTGGGACCCAGATGAGGTCCCCTTAGCTCAGTCCAAGCAGATGCTCCCCAGCATCTCTGTCTGGGGGGACTCTGCTCCGCATGGTGAGGCTGGGCAATGCTCCAGCCCCCCCAGTGCCTCCCTCCCTTGCAGGCACTTGCCTATGAGCTCCTGGATCTGCTTCGCATAGGCTCTCAGCTGCTTCTGGAGCTTCTGTGTGGTTCTCTCCTGCTTCTCCAGCTTCTGGGTCAGCTCCTGGGCAGCGACAGCCCCAGTAGGGCTCAGTCAGCCTCCCTCAGCTGGACACCCCCACCAGCACCCACCGAGTGGAGCAGAGCTGGGGGGATGCAGCAGGGTTCCCCACATTGCTCCCTAAGGGGCTACTGCAGCTTACCACAGGGCAAGGGGATGGGAGCCAGCCCCAAGCCCAGTCCTGCCCACCCACCCCCTTGCCCCTTACCCAGTTCTCCTCCTTGAGCCGCAGGACATGGTGCTGCAGCCCCTCCTGCCCCTGGTGCCGCTGCAGGTCCTGGATGAGGGCTGCCTGCTGCTGGCTCAGCTGCTTGAGTGAGCAGATGTCAAGGTGCAGCCCTTCAACCTCCTCCTCATGCTGCTGCTTCTCCTCCCGCAGCTGACTCGCCAGCAGCCTGCACACATGCACCCAGGGAAACTGAGGCACCAACCTCCTTCAGCTGCCATACCCCATCCCTTGGGGAGGCTGCTGAGGAGGTATTTCTCCCCTGAAGCCTCAGAGCTGGGAACTCTGCCCCTACCCAGGCACCCTGCGGGCAGCGTGGACCCAGCTGTGCTAACAGAGCATCTCCCCTTGGGCTGCACTGAGCCTCAAGCACCCAGGGCATAGCCCAGGAACCGGCTGCACCAGCCCTGCCCTCTTAGGAGGCTCCTGTTGAGCCCGGAGCACCCAATCTGCTCATGCAGTGCATGTGCCTATGCTCAGAGCAAGGTGGGATGCTCCAGCCCACAAGGAAAACGCAGCTGGGTGCGCTGGAGAGAAGGGAAGGAGAGCCAGGGCTACCCCACACCCAGGCAGGCAGCGAGGGGCAGGCTGCCCTCGCTCTCCCAGAGGCCAGGCAGCTGCAACCCAAGCCATGGCTGGCTAAAACACTAGGGAAAGCCCCACCAGCAGCATGGATCCAGTAGCCCATTATGGGGAAACCAGCCTCAGCTGGCTACCATCTCCCTAGGACCACACTCACCTATTGGCAACCTGCACCGCATCATATGCGTGCTTCAAGTCATCATCTACTGCCACCTTCTCCGGGCTCCTGCCCAGCCCCAGCATCTCAGCTATGTTCTGCAGGGAGAGGAGAGCAGGGTGAGGGCAGCCCCACCAGCCTGGACCTGGCCCTGCTCGTGGCAGCGGGACAGGAGCTCACCCTGCGCTTGAGGAAGTCCAATGGTTTCCTCTCCTCCAGCTCCGTGGAGGCCTTGGACCTCCGCAGCTCCTCCCGGGTCCGTGCCAGCTCCTCGCTGACGGTGTTGAACTGCCCCAGGAGGAGAAGGTACGCCTTCTCGAAGGGATCCTGGCCCACACCGCTGTTCAGCAGCACCTCACCGCTGGGCTGTGGCCCCTCTGGCACCGGCTGCCAGCGCTCCTCCAGCCCCTGGGTGCAGAGACAGGGTTTGGCACAGCAGCCAGTGCTGGGCACCAGCACCGCAACACCTGCGGACACCCCTCCACAATGGGACCAGCTCCCAGCCAGGAGCCCCAAGGCACAGCTGTCCCCATAGCCAAGGAAAGGGACAGTCCACTTGTCCCCACCACCCCACTGTCCCCACCAGTGTCACCACTAGCCTCAGCCTGCTGGTCGGAGCCATCTCGTGAGGGAGCTGTGGACATGGAGGACAAGTAGCTGCTCTCGGAGCCCAAGAAGCTCTCTGTCGAAGGGGACCGTCTCAAGGTGCTTTGCTGAGTGGGGAGAGAAGGACAAGGTTGTTCCCTCGCACCCCAAGCACCTGCTGGTGCATCAGCTGGGGCAGAGCAGCGATAGCTGCAGGATACCTTGGCTTGGGGATCCCCCAGCACGTGAGCCCGCTCCTCCCGCAGAGGGTGCCCTGGGCCAGCCAGCGCTGCCTAATCCCCCCAAGGAGCCAAGGGAGAGGTTGCCCTGAGCCTCCCGGAGTCCCTGCCGGCCCCTCACCCTGTGGAAGGCCACCTCATCCCGCAGGTTCTCATAGCCCTGCTCCAGGCGGGTGTACTCCTGCACCAGGCTCTGGTATCGCGCCCGCTCCTCCTCCAGCTCCTGCAGCAGCCCCTGGCTCTCCCGTGCCGCACGCTGGTGCTGCTCTGTGGGGACGAACGCAGCAGGGAGTGGGGACAGGCAAAGCCAGACCCCCTCTGCGAGGGGACATCCAGGACCACACCAAGCCTGCAGGACCAGCCCATACCCAGGGGAACGGGATGAGGGGATGGGAAGCCCTCTTTTACCTTTTAGATCCTGTGACTGCTCCAACACGCGCTGGATCAGGGCATCCCTCTCCTCCCCCAGCTGCAGCTTTGTGGCTTCCAGCTCTACCAAGCGCTGTAGGAAAGCGGAGCGGTGGGTACAGCCCCAGCCCTACCCGGGGCCAGCCCTGGCTGCCAGAGGTCCCCTCCAGGGACCACCCCACGGCAGGAAGCACAGCACGCTTCCAGGTCCCTGGAGAGCCCCATGGAGCCCCGGCAGAGCAAAAGCATTCCCCAGACCGACGGACCGACCTGCCTAAGCTCCTCAACCTCCTGGCCCAGGCAGCTCTTCACACTGTGCCTCTCCAGCTCGGCCAGCCGCTCCTGCAGCTGCTGGACCTGGGCGTCACAGGCTGCATCCTCCCGCAGCTGCTGCATCTCGGCCCGCAGGCGCTGCACCTCCTCAGCATGGGCAGCGTTCAGCCCCGAGAGCTGCTCCACCAGCCGCTGCTTCTCCTGGGCCTGGGGACAACGGGCAGAGCCATCATCAGGTGGCCAGGAACAAGGGCATATCCCCACATCTCCCATCAATGACAGCCCCTGCATACTCAGGCTGCCCTTCTGCGATGAACCTGGATACGCCATTTCCCACCCATTTGGAGCCCTGAGCCCCCAGTATCACCTCAAACAGAGCTCAGGCCTGGGAGAGCAGCTCTCCATGACATGCCACCCCACACGGAGCTATGCATGAGCTTTGCCATGGCTTTACAGCTCATTACCCACCTCCTGCCAGCCCCGACAGCAGGATTTTCCCACCCTGCTTCCCGAAACCCCCAGAGAAGATGACACCACAGGAGCCCTCCCTTTCCCTCTGCAGACACCCCCAGAAATGGAGCGGTGACAGCCAAAGCAGAGACACTCACCCAGATGGTGACAGCAGATGCTGCCGGCCGGAGCGTGGTAGGAGAACACACCATGCCAGGACTGTTCCCAGCACAGGACACTGTGCTGCAAGGCTGCACCCAGCCAAGCACCCAGGAGGGTGCCCATCCCATCCCCAAGGCCACCAGCCCCCCCATCCATAGGAAGCACTGAAATCCCCAGAATGAGACCCAGATGCACGACTCCTGCCCAGGGAGCCATGTCGGGCAGGGTCAGCTCCCGTCGCAGGGCTGGGAGAGGACTGAAGACAAGGGCAGGCATAGTTTTGGCTGCACAGAGGCTGGTAAGAAGCGGTCAGCAAAAAGCAGCTGCCCCCACACCCTGGCACCCATGAAGGGCTGAAGCCAGCACCCACCTGCTCATCCAGCCTGCACTGCAGCTGTATCACCTTGATCTCCATGCCCTTGTGCAGCTGCTTGTAGTGCTCAACCGAGCGTGCCTCAACACGCAGCTGCCGCAGCTGCCGGCACGCCCGCACCCGGCGGTAGCAGCACTGCAGGTAGATGATGGCCCCACGCAGGCGGGCGTATCGGGTCCGGGCCAGCCAGCCCCTGACTGCAGCCTGGATCACCACGGCTTTCTGGTGCCGCACCATCTATGGAAGGAGAGATGGGGCAGCGGCATCACCAGCGGCACAGCACCCCCCAGGAGGGACTGGGACACCCACTGCCCTGCCAGGATCCTACCTGTCGGTAAAGACGCCGGGCAAACATGCCCCGGGCAAAGGCTTGGATGGTGATGGCAGCCTGGCGCGTGCGTAGGTAGGAGCGCCGGGCCAGAACCATCCTCAGGGTCTTCTGCAGCATCACAGCAGCCCTTGTCCTTCGCAGCATCCTGGTGAACCTGCAGGGAGGGCAGAGGGCTGAGCAGGGGGTGGCAAAGCCTGCAGGGAGGACAGAGCACTGGGCAAGGGAGGACAGAGCCTGCAGCCCAGCCCAGAGCCCATACAACTGCCAGCTCAGCCCAAGGCTGAGCTCTGCTCAGCTCATTGCAGCTCCCTCCAAGCCCCATCCCCTGCTCACCTCCGAGCCAACATGCCCCGGGCATGGCGCTGCAGGCAGACTGCTGCGGCACGTGCCCGTCCAAAGCGCCTTCGTGCCAGCCAGCCCCGCAGGTGCCTCTGCAGCAGGGTGCAGGCCGCTCTCAGCCGTCGGTACCGCAGCTCCTCCAGGTAAGCCACTTGGCCAGCCCGGAAAAACACCTTGCTCTTCCCACACTGGTACTTGCTGGGGTCCTGCGTGCAAGGGTGGAATCGGTCCCAGGGATAAAACATACCCCAGCCAGGCTCCCCCGAAAGTGATGCTCCTCGTGCCACTGATCTCCCCATCCAGCCTCCCTGGAGGCTGAGTTCCTCCCCATCTCCCAGCTCACCCAGTTCTGTACCCCACAGGGCACCCACCCATGAGGAGAAGCATCTGCAAGGGATACTCTGGTACCACAGCTGCACCCCTCGAGCAGGGTCCTTACTTGGAGCAGTCTCTCAAGGGCAAGGCTGCAGATCTGCTTCTCAGTGGTGCCCATCAGCTCCTCCCTGCTCACCAGAGCCCTGTACCTCTCTAAGAACTCCTGGTATGTCCACCTGTGGGGGGACAGAGCGGGGTCAGAGGTGCTGTGGCTGGAGAGAGGGAGAGCACCCAGGGTGCTGCTGAAGCTGGGGGTACCTGGAGGGGTAGCCTGAGGCACTGATCCGGATGGTCTCCAGGACCCCGCAGGCTCGTAGCTGCTCCACTGCTCGCCTGGAGTCAAACCTGGGGCAAAGAAGGGCTGATCTAGAATGGGTCCCAGCCAGCTTGGCATGCTGCAAGCTATGCAGGGCCAGGGCAAGAGGGACACAGACTGGAGGGACAGCAGTGCCCCACAGAGTCCCCAGCCCCTCCAGCCTCCCCAGCCAGGCACTCACACAAAGGGCTGCTTGCCATCGTTGGGTTTGAGGCAGCGGATGTAGTGCGGTATGGTGCTGCCCAGCACCTCCATCAGCCGGTTCAGGGAGGCTTTGAACTGCAGAGGAGAAGGCAAGGATGGTCAGGGCCAGCAGGAACATCCTGGGGCTTGTGGGGTTCCCTTGGGGCTACCCCAGCCCCGGTTGTCCGGGCCCAGCACACATTCTGCCCCCCTAC